AACACCAAAAAAACACCGAAAGCACACACACCAACCCAGAACAGGGGCACCCTGCTGCTGAGCCATACATACATACATACATACATACATACATACATACATACATACATACATACATATACGCACATGAACGCATATCCATATAAATTATACAAGCAGATTCGATAACGGTAACGTTAAGGATTATAGAAGCCATAACAACAGCTAAAAAAGCGCACTCCCACAGCGACCCGGACTCTATAAATAAATAAATAAATAAATATATATATATATAGATATTTATTTATTTATACTTATTCATTTATTTGTTTATTTATAAGCTATCTGTATTAGAATCAGGGGAAACCGACAAAAACACTGAAAGTAACCCTGCTATAATTAAGGCACAAATTCTTTTCAGCGTCCCCGTAACGTTGAAGCTTACCAAGGTTCTCAACATCCCACTGTAATAATAGGCTGAATATTTAGTACAAACATATTCCCTGATAGCTCCGAAAACCATATAAACCAAGCATATGCCAAATACCGATAACCTCACAGATCTCTGTAAAGGAGCCATATTCGGATTGCCATTGCATGTCATTGTTTATATCCAAGCTCGTGTAGATGCCGACCGGGAATAATGTGAACAAGAGCACCATCTGTGTATAAGATACCCTACGTATATTTGGACACTATCGCCATTCGTTTATCCGACCCCTACATTAGATTCCACTTCCAGGATTCGTATTTCATGGGTGCCCAGCGAGTGCCCTACAGGACCCGACAGAATGTCATCGTTCCCTGATGGCCATAGACCTGCCATCTTTTTGGTAGCACTTTAGACGACGCCAACAAGTAGCCATTCATCTGAAATCTTAAATCACAACTCTAGCACTAGGCTAGACTTCAAGATTAGCCGTAAATCTGAATTTACACATTGCTGCCCTGAAAAGCTTAAACTGAATACTTGCAACCTAAACCGAGCAATATAGCTGAACAATCTGAGGCCTCAATCATGAAAAACACGTTGTTTCCCTAAGTCCTCAACCTAAAGCCTCTGACCCTGAACTGGCAGCTTCAGGAAGAGACCTTCTTGCACCGTAACAAAGACCCCTACCAGTAGCAAATAAATTCCCTAGTACTAGGGTTTAGGGTTTAGGGTTTAGGGTTTAGGGTTTAGCTAGTATGGATCCGTAGCCTGAAATTTCGTGGACATGGAATAATAGGGTTCAGGATCTGCAGCAGAGTTTGTTTTTTTCTCACGGCGTCGTAGGCGTACGTAACAACCTTATTTGCGAGTACGAATCCTGAATTTATGCTAGAGCTACGAACAGCAATATTGATTAATTTCAATACGAACCACTGAACCAAGGATCCCGAATATAATGAGAGACCATATTCACCAGATGGTACTGGTCCTGACGGGGTCGTGTCTGGGTATCTGGTCCAACGTGGGTGCGAATGGGGCTATATTGACTTTTTGCTACTGGTCCTGAAAGGATCGTGTCTGGGTACCTGGCCCAATGCAGGTGATACCGTCCCCGTGGCTGTGCAAGGCGGGGAAACGTACAGAGTTTCAGGCACCAAAAACCTAGATTCGGAAAATCTCTGGCGAATCTTGGTTCCCACGTTTTCTCCGTGTCAATTAACACGGACCGTGTTAACTAACACGGACCAGGAACCAAGAACCAAGATTCTCGGAAATGTGTTCTGGTGAATCTTGGTTCCCAGGCTTGGGCCCGTGTAAATTAACACTTAACGCGGTCCCCTGGAACCAAGATCCAAGAACTAAGATTCACAGAAAAGGTTTCGGAGAGCATCTTGGTTCCGGCACTTGTGCCTCGGCCTTTAACACGGACCCACGCGTGGGAGCCAAGATTCGTCTTCGAAGTTTTCCAGGAATCTTGTTGATTCTTGGTTCCGGGGCCCCGTGTTAAGTAAAGCGGTCCGCGTTAGTTAACACGGGCCCGAGCCCAGGTGCCGAGCTTTGCTGGGATGCTTGGTTCTTGGTTCCAGGCCCGGGTGAGTTAACACGCGCCCGACTGTGGAAACCAATCTTCAAAGCAAGCGTGGAAACCTAGACGCGGTCCGAGAATTGTGCTTGCAATCTTGGTTCTCGGTTCCAGGGCACGGCCCGTGTTAATTAAAAGGGGCCCGAATGTGGAAACCAAACTTCAAGCAGTCTGTTTATGGCCAAAACACTTGCAAAGGTGCATATATATATATATATACATATGGAAACCCGCCATGAGCTACCGACCCTCGTTTTTATTGTAAATACATTGTCAAACCAGCTTTTCCGGCAGGTCCGGATTCTGTATCCCTCAAAGACTACCAAAACCAAATCCACATTTCAATACAACGTGCCAGACAACTCGCTGATGTTTGACATCCGGACGCACTCCATGGCAACACTGTGCTCTTCCGAGCAAAAACAACTTTCAGTGGGGAAATCCCAAAACGACCATATTTTGAGACTTTTGGGAAACGAAACGGCCAAAGTCCTAAAGATGGTTGTGTTTGGTTTCCCTAGGCAAAAGTTGATTTTGCACCAACACCATTTTTTCTTAGGGAAAATTGCTTTTCACACCAAAGCTATATTTTGTTCTAGGAACATGTTGGCTTTCCGGTCCACAACCATCTGTTTCCTAGGAAAGTTGGTACTTCGGCCCAAACCCCTTTTTTTGCAATGAAAAAGTTGGTTTTCGGTGTAAAGCCGACTTTTCCCAGGGAAAACGAAAACACACTGTTTTTGGATTTTGGCCGTATAGTTTACACAAAGATTTATTGGTTTGTGTTTTTATGTTTGTTTGGTTTTCCGGTCCATAACCATCTTGTCCTAGGAAAAAATTTGTTTTCCCCATCCAAAACCATCTTTTTCTGGGAAAAAGTTTGTATTTCACTCCAAGACCAACTTTTTCCTGTGCGCGTTACCAATTGGTGTTGCCATTGAGGTTCGAGTGTCGTTACTGTTTGGATTCGATTCCGCTTGGCTTTAATGTTATACGATACAATTACTGGGCAAGAAGCAGGACATTATTCGGATCAGTTTTGGTGTCAATAGAGAGCTAGCATTGCAGGTTTAACACAGACGAGGACCCCAGAGTCAGGGTTACCACAGGAACATCAGGAGAAGGTTTTTTCTTGGGGAGATACCAAATATGTACACATATATGCACACATACACATGTACATATAGGTATAAACACAGTTATTTAGTTAATTATTCAGTAGTACATACATACATATACACATACATACGCATGTCTACAGATATATACATTCAAGCATGTACATACTCATATATATATATATGTGTGTATATATATATATATATATGTAGATGCTTTACCGCAGTGGCTGAGCCTTACATCTGCGGTAACTATACTGGCAGCCGGTCGGTGCGGGCAGGGTTGAGCTGCAGCGAGGTCGCCACGTGGTGTTTTTTCAATGCTGTTGGCTTCGGACCAAGGTGTGCGTTGAATATAGCCGTCTGCTTTTTTCTGCGCGTATTGAT